AGAATGTTCTTTTTTCCTGTTGGAGCTAGATCTTTCTAAAATTAATCTAGAGTTATCTTTAAAAAATAAATAAATAAATAAATAAAATCTTAAAAATAAAACACAAAACTTATATAAATGGTCCCTATGGCCGGCATAAAAGTACATCGCAAGTCCCTTTTAGGTTTTTCTTCTTCTTTTTTAAATGGACCATCCTTTTTAGATTAAAAAAAATGCACATAAGGTCTTTTTGACAAACCCAGTTCAAAATGAGTTCATAAATTTGTAGCATGTGCCCTCTGTGTGAAGGCAAATTTGTATTTTTTTTCTTGGTATTTAGTTAGGTGGATCAAGCAAATTGAATCATTTCCTAAGCGTTGCTCCAACAAAGTTTTTTCCCACTGTCTTTCCTAAGAAAGTCCTCATTCTTCAATATCATAACCTGAAATTGCAAATAATGTTGTGCTTTTGTGGTGGTAAGTAAGTGTGGTTACATATTGGACCAACTCGAATCATGGTAGAAGATTTTCTTGCTATAGATGAATTGGTAGTAGTTGTTGGTTTATTGGGTGGTTCGACCTACCCATGTGTCCTAAGGTTGAGGAAACTATCCATGGGTTACAGTAATGTTAGTGCCTCCTTTAAAAGACATATGGGTGCCACATTTGTGTTAGGAATTGTCTTACCATGTGAAGGACATAAAATGATCAAAGAAGGGTTGAATATTCTAAACTAAAACACCCCTTGTACGAGATAGTAGAATTAGGTAATTTAATGATTCTTTAAAGTTTCACAGTTAAATGCGAAATTATTGGTCCTAATACTAAACCAAAGTTCTAAATATCAGAGTTATTTAGGGTGTAACACCAATAAAAAAAATCAAATGAAATTTAAACTTTAAAACCAACCCAAATTCATATATTGTTTGCAACAATAGTTTTCAAAACATTTTCAAACATCCAGGTCTCCCAAAATCATCAGTCATAAACAAGAGGATGTGTATGGTCAAGCCTTCGCCTTCCCGCGATCATACGAAGTACGCGAAACATAACCTAAAACCATAAGTGAACGCTTAATGAGTTCCCCCAAAGTACCACCACATAAACATAAACATAATAACAAACAACATGCACATAGAGCCTTTATCCTGACCAGAACGCTGCGCCGGACTACAGACTATCTAGAACGCTCATAGAACCTTCATCATGACTGGAACGCTTCACCGAGCCTGCAACCTATCTGGACCGTTCTCTGCACCTTCGGCCTGACTGGTACGTCTCACAGGTTTGCAGTTTATTTGGGATACCCTGGGTCTCTTGGCCTTTAGTATACGCTGGTCTGCCTCAACCTAACCATACACAACATGTCAACATATACACAATATATAACATAAATATAACCAGTCAACAGACAATCAGATAGATCTCGCTGATCACTAAGCGTAGCATCATCCTATATACCAAGATACCGATCTAACAGATCACTACAACATGATAACGTATTGTCACATAACAGGATATCTAATCCAATGGGATGGACTTGGTGCCTTTAACCCGCAAGTACAATGAGAAAAACTCACCTCACAAACTGGAAAAAAGCTGATGAAGTCTCAACTCCGAATTTCAACTCTAATCGAAACCTATTTCAACCAAATAACCAATCTCAATCAAAATCCTAAAATACCCAAAAGGCGAAACTTGGTCAAAGTCAAAATCAAACTGGTCAATTCAACTGTGTCAACGAACCGAGTCAACTAAGAGTGAGTACGTAGGGTGTAATCTGAAGGTACGTTGGGTGTACTGAAATGTTTACCGCTATCAGGGTGGTTGACCTCGTAGGCAGGGCGCACTCCAAGTATGCGAGACGTACTCCCAGAAGCTTCAAAACACAATAAGTGCTTAATGGCTTAAACACTCGTGTCTATTTTTTAGATGCATGGCTAAAATACCCTAAAGAGTCATAAAGTTTCCAAGTTTATGACTTTGCATGTCCATTATGATCTTAACTCAACCTCTTAATCCATTAAGACATTCTAAATGATGCACAAAGCAAAACCAACCACTTGGAATCCATTTTTATGACTCAAGACCCTTCCAAGGGTCTAAAAGCACAACTTAATAGGTCTAGAACATGCTATGTACATGAATCATCATTTTGGGACTAAAAAGGTTGTAACACCGTAAATTTTCAAACAAATTTTCATTTTTAAAAATCACATAGTTCTCATAAACACAGTTCACACATCCCAAAATAAACAATGTATTAAAAAAAATGTTCAATAATTGTTTAAACGAAATCTAGGATAGTCAAAACACAACTTCTCCTGGTGCGTACAATCAAGTCGACGCCTTCCTGTGATCCCGAAAAATACCTGAAACACAAAATACACAACATGGTAAGCACGAAGCTTAGTGATTTCCCCAAAATACCATAGACATCTCATTAGCCTCTCATAGCCATACTCAAATAAGACTCTCCGGTCAATGTGTCTCAGTGGAACCCTCAGGTCCCACAACTCGGGTGGACCCTTCGATCCTAACTCAGTAAGCTTAGAATAATACACAACATAAATCACAAAGACATAATGCAGGATATCACAATAGTGACTATAAGCACATAAGACCCTCTAGTCACAGACATTACCACTCTAGGTGAGTATAGTGAGAAGACTCACCTTGTAAGCTAGCAAATCAACCTCGTACACAAATCACAGATCTAGCCTCCGCCTAACACATATGATAATTATTTCTAATTAACACTCCATTCACAACTCTAAATAACCAAAGGCTATTTCTCTCTCTCTCTCTCTCTCTCTCTAACTCTTGGAATGGGTAAAAGACCATTCTACCCCTCCATAGTCTCCGTACATCCTATCTTGACCGAACCCCAAAGTCAACTGAAGTCAACACTCAAGTCAACAATCCATGTTGACCCGACTCGTCGAGTGCCCTCGTTCCTTCAAAAAATCCGTGAAAACCCAACTTAACTCATCGAGTTGTCTTGTCAACTCGCCAAGTTACTTATGTCTAGACTCATCGGGAAAAACCCTAATCGACTCATCGAGTTGCCTCATCAATTTATAAATTACATACCGTTCATAACAAATATATTGTATTTTAACTGAATATCATTATTGAAATTAGAAAATAATCGCATAAGTAAATTTTAAATTAATCAATCATAATAATTGTTAAAAATAATATTAAATAGATAATTATATTTAATTGTATTAACGAGGAAGATGGGTTGATGTCAATGAATAATATTGTTCAAAATATTATGTCAAAGTTAATATCAATAACATAACCATTTTAAACATATATTTTTCAATATTTTAACAATATATTTTTAACTTACACTGCGGATGAGAATTCGTATAGTACATTAATGTGACAATAAATAAAATTAGATTGATCTTATCAGCTGTAAATCTATTTTAGTCACTGCTTTGAAAACCAAACCGGAGCAGCCGGTTGAACCTGAAACCAGTAGAGTCACCGGTTCTATAATTAAGCTTGAAAAACCAATTGTTATTGATCCAACAAAAAACGAACAATTTGATCTAAAACCGGACCGGTTTGACCACTAAACCTTTTTTTTAAAGACAAGAACATTTTCTGGCTCTTTATTAGTAAACTTAAAAGCCCATGTGACTTTACAAGTCGACTATTGCCATTAACATCTCAACATCTCAAAAGCTATAAGTTCCTTCTTTTAAGTAGGACGACTCAAATCTAAAACATATGTTAGCCATCGATGTGGGATGCATGTTCACCACCAGATAACTTTTTTTCTTTTTGCATTCCTTTGTTTTATTTAGAACTAGTTTATACCGGAAACCACGATTATAAAATTAATTAAACTTTTATAATGAAATTCAAAATTGTTAATCAATTATTTTGAATAAATTATTAATTAACAGATCTTTTTAGGTATATAAATTTAAATCATTGATTTAAATAAATATATGGAATTATATTATTTTATAATTTGTATTAATTGTATTTTAATTTTTATTCTAATATTATTAATTTAATGTAATTAGAATGAGAAATTTAAAATTTGAAATTTAAAATGAAGAATCAATAGGTTGACAAATGATGTGTATTAATTAAAAGATATAATAGGACGACACATAACAAAAGAAGAATAAAATATGCATTAATTAGGAGACCTAATAGGATATACATGCCAAGAGGAGAATGAAACTATTCTTTTATTAGAATAAGAATAGGGATTAGTTAAATATACAATTAAAATGATATATATATATATATATATATATATATATATATATAGTGAGAGAGAGAGAGAGAGAGAGAAAGAGACACACACACGATTCTATCTAGTTTTTAGGACCAATCCGACCACTTGAACCATCGAACCGGTATGGTGGCCGGTTCAATGTCCGGCGGGTATTCAAAACATTGAAGTTCACTTGTCAAATTCTTGAAGCAGGAAACCACACACAAGGAAAGCTAAAATTTAGGGCAAATGTTATATGCTTATGTTTTTCTCCCACTTATGCAAGCTTAAAAGTGTTGTCCTGAAAATCATAACCCTATTCCAACCCAAATATGAAGCACTACTAATAACAAAAATCCATGAGACTAGCTCTACATTCCTTTTTCATGACTCTTAATAAGCACCAGCTAAAATTTAAAGCATATCTATTAAATACATGGAAGCTTAAGAGGAAGTTCAGCAGAAACTTACACTTCATGAAAGAAACAAGCAGAATTCAGAATTGTACAATTATACAACTCCAGATTGTTGAAGTACATTATGCATGTGATGAACTATTAGAGCCTGAGGGGACAATGATGCAAATAAACATCAATATATATTGGCAATGACCAATTATACGAGAGGTAGATGACAGGTGGTTTTAAGAAAGATAGGTTATAGTTAAAACAGAGGAGAAGGCAGGGTAGATTGGATACGTGTGGGGAATATTTTAAGTTGATTTTGGAGACAACATGAGACCAGCATATCACATTTGTACTTATGACTGAAAATCGGTTCTTTATTACCCATCCAAATCAGTTGTTAACATATGTACATAATTAGAACACACAAAGACAGTAACTATGGGATATTTCAAACTCAATCTCATTCATGCATCTTTCTAGAATTGATCGTCCTCAGAAATGCGAGGAATTGCCATAACTTTATGGACTCTCAACTATTGGTTAAGATTTCTCAATTCTGCTACTGCTTGGATTTCTACCATCACTTTGGACTTGATACAGTCTTTTAGCTTGGGACTTAGCTTCAAATACAATGTGGGAATCCCAAAGATTTTCTTGCAAACACTTGTATAGTGAAAATAAGACAAGTGTACTGTATGATATTGGCCCCAAGGAGGCTCTGAAGTATCCACTACCCAAAATCAGAAATCCTAAGTTCCAAGCATTCACTGCAAAGTATGTCGCTACTTTTTGTATTTCGTTTCATCCTAATCGTAATCCTGCATGAAAATGTATTTACGTAAGAGTTTCTAATAGTTGGTTTGTATGTTTTTGTTTATGTGATGATAAATCAGAATATAAAAGTACGTTAAGGGCCACCTTCCGGTATGCTAGACTTCTGTTGAGAGAAAGCTCTGAAGTGTATTTCATCACCTAATGAAAAAAAAAAACTAGATTAGAAATTTGACTATAATTGCATAAAATAGAAAACATTAATTGTTTGTCATTAAAGACTATCAAGACAACCGAAGGGCCTTTGGCTTAGCGGTATCAGGGGTTGACAGATAGGTGCATCCCAGCCAAAGGTTGAGGGTTCGAGTCCGTTGAGGACCAAAGGTGTAGATTTAGGAGCAGAGTAGTGGGTTCATGCGTAAACCATTCTAAGAAAGAAAAAAAACACAAACTATCAAGAGAAGTTATGGATGATGTTTTATACGGGGATTTAGCATAATATCTGTTTCGCGAATTGCTTGTGATGATTTTCAGTTGTGTAATTTACCATGTGTTGGGTTCAAGTGGTCCCGTATATGCCTCTAGTTGGATCATAGTTCAGATCAGAATATTAGTTATAGCATATTGCTGATGAAAGAAATCAAGAGACAAGTAATTCCCCCCTAAGTAAATTCAGGTATGATATCTAGTAAACAAACAACATGGTGATTGTGTGATCTCCATAACAATGATATCTACCTGAAAAGATGCTGATGTCGTCAAAGCCAAATGCGAAAAATTTCTTTATGGTTAGGTCGTATTTTCCAGTTGTTGACTGAAATCCAGTGAGATCTCCACCAATAATGTGATTCCATGACTTGTAATAACCCAACACATCTTCTTTTTCTTCTCCATCATCATCATACACAAGACTAACTCCACACTCTTTTATAACTTGATTAGACCCAACAGTAAGAGTAATGTGGTCACCATCTTCCATCTCATTCATACCAAACATCCAATGGCTTAATACTATAAGAGAATCTCCACTAACATTGACTATGTCAATGTAATGATCATATGTCCAGGTGCGGTTCTTCGTTATATTATCAATCGTGACTGTTGGCAAATAAAAGAACCCATTATCTACAACTTTAAGGCTCTGATTCACATCGTGAAATAGAGGACTCTGCACATAGCATAGATTCAATCCCCTGAGTTTTTTAGGAGATGATGGAATGGTAAATAACATCGATGGCCCCGTGCTTCTATCTGTAATCCAACTCGGCATCTCTTCACCTTCATAAATCGTGCTAAATATTCCAAATTCATAATACATCTGCCAAATACAACCCACCTTCATTAAATATATATATATATATATATATATATATATATATATATATATATTCACACAAAGACATAGTTAACTAGAGGAAACCTGGATTTCAGATTCCTGTAATCCTGTAGGCCAATAATGCTCAACATCAGTCCGCAGGCGCCTTTCATTAGAAATGTCTAAGTTAGTCCAACCCAAACAATGTAATACCTTTTTCTCAACACTTGCCATTGGTTGGATTTTGATCATGCCTTCAATTTCAAGTGAAGGAGCTGGAAACATCTTATTATTAATAAAAAATGTGAGAGGGGACATTTTTGGATCAAATAAAATTTTCCTCAGCGAAGGCTTATGGTCAGAAAAGAGGAACAACTTTCTTAGTGTATGTGGAGGATGCTCAAGTGACTTCAGCATATAACAGTTTATCATACTAAGTATCTCAAGCCTAGGAAGGCTTCGCACACAATAAGGCAGGGAAACCAAAGGATTTTCATCTAGATATAATTTCTTCAACATGGATAGGCAACTGAAATCCACAGGAAAGGATTCCGCAGACAAATTATTATCCTTAAGAGACAAGGTTACCAATAAGCTTGGTAAAGAAATCACAAAGAACTTTGAATCGTTTGGTATAGCCTCGAGAACGAAGGATGAAGAGGTTAGTTTGTTTGTACAAATATTGTTCGATGAATCCATATGCGCAATCCTTATCCGAGATTCACCGAGATTACAACCATCTAACAATAGTGTTTTAACCTTTTTTAACATTCCTAAGCTTTTTGGAAGTTTTTCAAGCTTGTTGCAATAGCTCATATCAATGTGCACAAGTTCAACACATTCACCAATTGAATCACAAACCTCGAACAAACCAGTGCAGTTTGTAAGTATTAACCTCTCAAGTGCAGGGAGTTCGTCAAAGCCACCCAGACTACGAAGCTTATGCGAGAAACTTAAGTTAAGAACCTTCAATGATCCAAACAAGCTTTTGTCTTTTAAGCACAATCCATCCAACTGTTGAAATGAAGATAAGTTAGAAAATTAGTAACTTTCATCAACTTAAAATGAAAAATTATAAAAGCGATAAGTTGCCTTTTGCCTCTTTTGAAGTCGTGGATATTTATAACCATTGCCAAATGATTCAATATTGCTATATGACATGTCAAGAGCAACCAGATTCTCCATCGGCAGGTCTGAAGGTACAGACTTCAAAGGGAACCCATGCATACACAACCATCGTAATTCTTTTGGAAGGTTCTCGTAGGAGCCATTAATGTGGACATAATTGAGTTGTAATAACATCAGATTAACCATGTTACTCATTGCATCTGTTTTCAGCTCAAATGATGAATGTGACTTCTCTTTCTCAATCATTTGCATGTCAAGGGCAAGGCCTAAAAGATTTCCTTTACCCTAAAAATAAACAAGATGCCAAAAAAATTGAAATACTTTGTACATACATGCTGTTAATAAGTATACATGGCCTCATACCTTTTTTTGTTTCAACACTTTGAACGACTCCTCATGACACCATAATCTACTTCGCTTCCATGGCTTCTCGGGTGATTCTTCGCGTACCACAAATCTTCCCATCTCTTGAAGCAATTGATGCATCATCAGTTTGTTATTCCATTCAATATTGAGAAGGCATTTGTCAATGAGATTCGTGATCCCGGATCTTGTTTCTATATCACATGCCTTTAATATTGTTTCAGTAACATCTCTATCCATTCCAACAAAAAAACAAGCAAGATGCTTAAACAACTCCTTATCATTTTTAAATGACAAAGAGTCAAAGCTCATTCTCAAGACATTATTGATGGGGGAACAATTTTCTTTCTTTATCTCTTTTATGTACCCTTCCCAATAAGCTATATCTCGATTATATAGAGACCTACCCAAAATTTTAAGAGCCATTGGATGTCCTTCACAATACTTCACAAGCTTTTCTGACACCTCTTCGTAACCTACCTTAGGAGAGTACGACCGGAATGCATGAAAACAGAAAAGTTGTTGTGATTGAATATAACTTAAGCCTTTAAGTTCGTGCGTTGCATGCTTGGGCTTAAGTCTCATTTTGAATAGTTCACAACTCTCTGTCAACCACGCATCCTTTGTTGTTATAATGATTTTACTCCCTGCATGAAAACCATTGCTTCCAAGTAATGCATTCAATTGGTCGAGATTGTCAATATCATCAAGAACTAGAAACACCTTTTTACTGGACACTGCATTATTTATCATTGAGGTGTATGTAGAAGCATCAGCAACTTGCAACAGACTTGGTTTCAAAATGTCAGCACAGAGTTCTTTTTGTAAATCAATTAACCCATTAAGTTTTTCATTACATCTCCTACTGATATCTTCAATAAAGCTGCTTGTGTCGAAATCACGAAAATGAGACAAATAGACATATTTAGCTAAAGATGTCTTCCCGATCCCACCCATACCCAAAATAGTGAGTATGTCTGCCGTATGTGATGATGCATCTTTCAACCAAGAAGTGAGAAATTCAATGGAATTGTCCATCCCAAAAATCTGTGGAAGAGGTCTCCTTGAGGATATACATAATCTCGAGTAGATATCCTTAACAATTTCTTCAATAAACTCTGTCTCTCGCCTGAAACTTGATTTTTTAATAAGAGCCACAAAACTAACAAACCAGATTTGGAGATTTCATGAATCCAAAGACAGATCAAAACTATATCATGATAAGCTATTATTTTTAATTAAGTTTTCACATCAAGACTATATCATATTGCACTTCTAACCGTTTAAGTATCTAATGTGTAAGGCCATAACTTTCATGAACAATAAGACCATAGCCACTTATGTATAATCCAAGATATCACTAATGGGCCACCAAATTTCATTATATTTCTATAAGCCCACCAAAGATAAATATGGATGCGATTTTGCATGAATTTGAACAAAATGGTATAGAACGGTAATAGGTTGACATGTACTACTCATAAGCAATACTGCAATATTGTTATATATCATAATAAATAACAATATTGTTAGAAGGCAGTATGATTAACTTACTGGTAGACTCATTACAAACCTCAAAAAGTTGGATTTTAATAGAAAGCGTATACAGGTATTAAAATGGTTGATCAATTTAAATTAACTTATGATAAAATACATAATTATCATGTCAAAATTATCTAGACAATTAGACAGTTCAAATAATTTATGAGAATATCTAATTTAAATCTTAAGATTCAACTTTAAGTATTTCTATAACCAAATATAAATACATCTAAATGATGCCCATTTAATGATAATCAAGAAACTTATAGAAATGATACGGAGAAGATAACGTAGATGTTTCATTCCTTTTCAAACAAAAGTACAAAATTATGGGTAAGAAAATGATCACCTGCCATTAACGTCCTTCCCTCTTAAATCAGCAACTTCTCTAAGCGCTTTTTTCCAGCTGGCAATCTTTTGAGACCATTTACTTCTTTTATTAGCATCTGTCTCTGCCTCCATCTTCTCTCTGTGTTTAGCCATTGCATCTCCAAAGCTACTTTGTTGTTTCCTGACATCGGTCGGCTCAACATGATAAAAGATAGGGAAAACAACATGGTTGGATGTCATACGTTGCTCAAGAATCAGCACCAATTCATCAAGACACCATGTTGAAGAAGCATAATTCATAGACAGCACGATAACAGAAGCCCTACATGCTTTAATAGCACTCTGTAATTCTGGTTTCAGATCATCCCCAATTTCGATCTCTTCATCATCTAAGAAGGTAGCGATATTGGCATCCATGAGGGCCTTATGAAGGTATGCAGTGAAACTATTACGAGTATCAAGACCTCTGAAACTTAAAAATACATCATATCTATGACCATGAGTAGATGAAGAAGATGAAGATCCTTGTGAAAGGTCAGATAGAACAACCATTATGAGTTAAGGGTTGATGACACTTCACCCTTCTCACAAATTTGTGTATTTCTTTCCTTTTTTTCTCCCTTATATGTGGGTGTATCCACAGTTTCCTTATGACATCAGCAGTTATGAATTTTGATTTCACTGGTAACTCAAGATCCCATATATAATTCCTCACTTGTGCCACAATCTCAAGATCCCATATATAATTCCTCTGCATAAAAATCCAACTAATTAATACCTTATGCAAGGCAAGTCTCATCAAAATATTTAAAACTCACGAATAATACCTTACATTCTTCAAAATAAAAACATAAGTTTCAAAAGGCAATGCATTTAGACCTCAAACTTTGCCACTTGACTTAATAGGCTTATATTAATACCTTGTGTAACTTAAAAGAAACTCAGACTCGGTCAAACTAGGTCAAAGATCAAAAAAGACTCAAAAACTCAGTCCCAAGAATTAATACATGAAAACAGATTTAAATACTCAGTAAATGAGGTAATATATATATATATATATATATATATATATATATATATATATATATATATATATATACACACACACACAACGGGACTTGAACCCTCAACCTCAAGGAGGAAGGCAACACCTAGTACTGCTGGGCCAGGAGCCCTTTGTTAGAATTTTAATATATTTATTTCTTACTTTATGTGTTTATCGGACCCTAAAAGTAAACATAATTGATGAAGCGGTTGAATATGAATTGGATGGGCTCACATCCTTGAACAATATATAGAGAAGAGAAGGATCAATCTAATATTAGAGAATGAATACTTATTTTTGAAGTAGTTTAACATGAACATGTATACTTTTTATTGCTATTTTCCTATTTTGTTAAAACACTTATAATATTTTCCATATATATGCTTTCCCCAAAGTTAGTTGCATTACAATTTACCGTAGCTGAGTACCCTCTGCGTAGCCCGAGTTCCCATTACTCCCTAATCAACCAACTGAGAGTAGCACCTACCGAAGGCAAGAACATTGCATGAAACATTTAAACCTCAAGAATAAAACATTATATTCTATAAAGTAAAAAGATTAAGTGATTAAAGAACCAATATATATATATATATATATATATATATATATATATATATATATATATATAGGGTTAGGTTCATTTGAGACCACCTATATTTTGTGAGACCGTGAGACGTATTTTTTTTTTTTTTTTTTTAAATTTTTTTTTTTTAGTTAATTCATGTTCCGAAAATAATATTTAAAAAAAGAATTTTTTGATTTTTCCATTTATTTTGCATTTTAAAATTATTTTTAGAATATGTACAGTGTAATATTCTATTTAGAATATTTCACGTATTTTTCAAAAAAAAAAGAATTTTTTTTTAGTTAATTCATGTTCCGAAAATAATATTTAAAAAAAGAAATTTTAGATTTTTCCATTTATTTTGCATTTTAAAATTATTTTTTAGAATATGTCAGTGTAATATTCTATTTAGAATATTTCACGTATTTTTCAAAAAAAAAAAAACGGAATTTTTTTATTTTATTTTATTTTTTTGTATTTTTTTAATATTTTTTTTAGTTAATTCAAGTTCCGAAAATAATATTTAAAAAAAGAATTTTTTGGATTTTTCCATTTATTTTGCATTTTAAAATTATTTTTAGATTTGGTCTCACGGTCTCACAAAACTAGAATGGTCTCGAATGAACCTGAACCTATATATATATATATATATATATATATATATATATATATATATATATATATATATATATAATGTGCTTATCTTTCTACCTAAGTCCTAATAATGATAAAGATCACCGTTACATTGCCACTGAAACCATTTAAAAAAATGGTTACTCAGTTCATAAATGATTGATTAACTTGTTTTTTGGTTAAGTTTCGGGTAGAAGAAAATATCAAACCATTCGATTCAATTAACCTACAAAATCTTTATTATTATCAGAGTAAACTACCATAAATATCCCAATAATTCTCGAAATAAAATCCATCTACGGATTCAGTTGTGTAATTCTCCAAAAAAAAAAAAAAAAAAAAATCAACTGGTGTACCTCATATATGGTGGACTGGATATGCAAATTAAGGGGGAATCAACAGATCAAAACTTGGGCTAAGGGCTAAGGGGTCCGATGGTTATTAGTTTAGTACAAATAAGAGTTGAGGAGGGGTGAGCGGGTTAGCTATTCTTTTTTCAGATGGAATCCTGTTCCTAGGAGAAAAAACTACCTTCTCGAATTGGTAGACTACTTTGTAAACCTTTAGATCATTCAATCCCTCAACTACACGTTGCTAATTCCATTCCTTTCTATGCTAAATCAGACCTAGACTGTCACATCAACACCATATCATTCTAGAAACAACACCATATGTCACTTCCCTAAATATCATCAAACAATTAATACATATCAAAAAAAAAAAAAGATAAGTTTCTTGACCTGGTTGTTTATATATCCCCGAATTTGCAAGAAAAAGTTTTTCAAATGTGAATATATCTATCACTAGATCTAGTATCAGGATGATACTATCATCATGCAAATGGGCTTGTTCCAAGAGATATGTTTACTAAACTTCAATTTCAAATTCTATAATAGATGAAATTCCGGATATAAATTCACCTTATAGGCTTATACACAAGCATATAGATGTTATCGTCTTTATTGAGTTGCATCTTCCTTTTGAAAACAATGTGAAGCCATTGGTTGTACTGGCCCTAGAACACAAATTTAAACTAACAAAATCCTCCTTTTAATTACAACATCCACATGAAAAGGCTATAAAAGTGATAAACCGAAGCATAAAATGAGGACGTGGTAAAAAAACAAAAAAAGCATCTGAAAGTAGATATTACCCTGGTGTCATGTAAGACAAAAAGAAAGCCCTTATGATTTTGTAGCTCAAAGCAAAAAACTAATCCATCTTATTTGCAAATAAATGGAGCAAGAGTGCAAGACTTGATTGATTTAAGATCTAGACTCTGTATTAGCAAACTCCTAATTTCAGATTCTAAAAATTGTTACATCTGAAAGTACTTCACGATGATTGAAATGTCTTACAATCTGGCTTCAATGGTTCATTAAGTTTTGCACAACAGGAACATCACTAGACAATCTATAATATTGTCACAACTTAGCCTATTGTCTAAAAGCATCATTCAGATAGAACTAACTCTATCGAAATCGTGTTTACAAATTTGAAATATAAATTAATTAAGAAAGTAATTTTAGTGGAATATGTGCTCCATCGTTCTTAAGAACATGTTGGACTATGTAGAATCCTAATTGAAATATAAAACTGAACAAAGTGATTGATGTAATCGAAATAGCATTCACCTCAAAATGAAATAATAGATCATAATGATTTAATTTATGATTAATCTAATGAAATCGTTTAACATGATGTCATACTAGCTTGTAAGAGTGTGCGTTCGTTGTTACTTACCTGTCTACAGGTTGATAAAGAGCACTCGGTGGGGATGGAAGAAGAATCAACGGCCACTAAACAGAGAAGCAGGACGAGTGAAAACTACAGAGCGAACGACAGCATGCCTTCAGGGATATAGCGGGTCAACAAGGAAAGACGAAGGAAGGAGAATGTTCTTTGTTCCTGCTGGAGCCAGGTCTTTCTAAAATTAATCTAGAGTTATCTTTAAAAAGTAAATAAATAAATAAATAAAATCTTAAAAATAAAACACAAAACTTATATAAATGGTCCCTATGGTTGGCATAAAAGTACACCGCAAGTCCCTTTTAGATTTTTCTTTTTATTTTTTAAATGGATAATCCTTTTTAGATTAAAAAAATGCACATAAGGTCTTTTTGACAAATTCCGTTTAAAATGAGTTCGTAAATTTGTAGCATCTGCCCTCTGTGTGAAGGCAAATTTGTATTCTTTTTTTCTTGGTATTTAGTTAGGTGGATCAAGCAAATTGAATCATTTCCCAAGCGTTGCTCCGACAAAGTTCTTTCCCACTGTCTTCCCCAAGAAATTCCTCATTCTTCAATATCATAACCTGAAATTGCAAATAATGTTGTGCTTTTGTGGTGGTTAGTAACTGTGGTTACATCTTGGACCAACTCGAATCATGGTAGAAGATTTTGTTGTTATAGATGAATTGGTAGTAGATGTTGGTTTATTGGGTGGTTCTACCTACCCATGTGTCCTAGGGTTGTGGAAACTATCCATGGGTTATAGTAATGTTAGTGCCTCCTTTAAAGGACATATGGGTGCCACATTTGCGTTAAGAATTGTCCTCCCATGTGAAGGGCATAAAATGAGCAAAGAAGGGTTGAATATTCTGAACTAAAACACCCCTCGTACTAGCTAGTAGAAGTAGGTAATTTAACGACTTTTTTTAAGTTTTACAGTTCAATGCGAAATTATTGGTCCTAATACTAAAACAAAGTTCTAAATATCAGAGTTATTAAGGGTGTAACACCAATAAAAAATCACAAGAAATTTAAACTTTAAAACCAACCCAAATTCATATATTGTTTACAACAATAGTTTTCAAAACATTTTCAAACATCCGGGTCTTCCAAAATCATAAGTCATAAACAAGAGGATGTGTATGGTCAAGCCTTCACCTTCCCGCGGTCATTCGAAGTATGTGAAACATAACCTAAAACTATAAGTGAACGCTTAATGAGTTCCCCTAGAGTACCACCACATAAACATAAACATAATAACAAACAACATGCACACATAGCCTTCATCCTGACCGGAACGCTACACCGGCCTACAGACTATCTAGAATGCTCATAGAACCTTCATCATGACTGGAATGCCTCACCGAGCCTGCAACCTATCTGGACCGTTCTCTGCACCTTCGGCCTGACCGATACGCCTCACAGGTTTGCACTCTATTTGGGATGTCCTGGTCTCTTGGCCTTGAGTCTACGTTGGTCCGCCTCAACCCAACCACACATAACATGTCGACATATACACAATATATAACATAAATATAACCAGTCAACAAATAATCATATAGATCTCGCTGATCACTAC